CTCCGGGTTGGGGTCAGTCAGGCTACCTGTGTGTCTTCGTGTGGTTGTGGGTGTGGGGGATGTGTTCTTGTGTGTGTGCCGCTGGTGGTGTTGATTTAGTAGTTTGGGGGTGATGGCTTATGGTCCCGATGGGTGGGGGACTCGTTTGGCGGGCTTCTATGGGTAGTGTCAGCCCCCCTTAATCTAGCGTGGTGCCCTGGTCCTGGAGTCTGGTCCCATTCACCCTGGATCCCGGTCTCATCCTTCCATGTCTACGGTCGGGGTTCAGTGTTGGTTCAGGGCAGGTTGGTGTCTCGACCCACGGGACAATGTGCGCGTCGGGGGCGCTGAGGTGGCGTGTGGTTGTGTAGGGGGGAGATCTTGGGTGTCCTCCCTCCTCCTCTCCGCTTGGGCATGATGTTGTCTCTTGTGTCTTGTGGAGGTTAGGACCGTGGGGATGGGTCGGGTGTTCTGTGTGGTACAGCATGGTCCTGTGGTTGTATGTCTGTGTTCGTTCTGTATTTGTGTTTTGTGGGGGAGTATGTCATGTTCCTGGGGGGGGGTTAGAGGTGGGGTCACCCCACGAGGCCGGAGCCCCCGCGCCCCACCAGTGCCCGGGCCCCCCCTCGGTACAGTCTGTTGCATGTGTTCCCATTGCGATCTTCGGGTGTCGCTGCCTTGGCCCTCAGGTGTCCTGTCTCCAGGTGTGTGTGCCGTGGTCTCCTGGTCTGCGTGGTGTGTTGCCCTGTGATCCGTAGGCCCTCAACCGTCGTTGTCCGTGCGTCGTGGGTGTGCTCCTGGGTTTTGTCTAGCGGTTAGCCATTGTAGCCAGTGGAACCATGTCTTCAGGTACGTCTGGGGTCTCCCTTTTGCTGTCAGGATCATTTCCTCTATGGTCCTTGTAGCGGAACGCCAATAATAAATCCACGAATTCCGCTGGTTCAGGAACGAATCCACAGTCAAGCGCTGAAACAACAAGGCAATATCCCCAACCTCCCAATAACCGGACGAGACACAGTTTTGAGAGTCAACTGAAATCCTTTTAATCGGCTGGACAATTTATACAAGTCCCCCATGCAAGGGGTTTCCTGAGTCCCTTCTCAGGGGCACTCCCAGAGGGGACTACATGGGGGACTTACATTACAACATATTTCTCCCATCAGGCACGAGAGGGATCATCTTCCCAGAATGCACCGTTAAGTGGATTATCCCCTCGTGCAGCAGAACCGACAATTTACACAAAAATCCATAACTTGTTGAATATATGGTGGATTTACACGAATGGATGTTCGGTAGATAGCTGGGGTCTGAGCGCATCATTCGTGAGATTACCGCTCAGATCCCAGCTAAAATAACCGAACGCCGCATGAAAGACAGATTTCTGATAAAACATATAAAAAGAACCGATTGCTTGAAGGGGACAAAATACCGAATGTCCCGAAACTCCCGAACGTCCTGGAGGCTCAGCGGTGTTCGTGCCGTCGAATAGCTGGTTTTAGTACTATGCGTTCGACGACCTAGCACCGCTGAGGGAACAAAGGATCCAAGATGGCCGACCGCCGCATTGTCGGTAGTCGAACGACGGCCACCCAGGAGATCCTCTAATAACCGATTGCAACATTGTTGCGATCGGTTAACTAGCGCCACACGCCTCTAAGTGTGTGGGCTATTAGGTGGTATCGCGTTCGGTTCACGAACGGCCCTCCAAAGTGCCGTTCGTGAAACGAAAGGAAACCCCCATACAAAACCGCCATTTGCATTCGGCAAAAGGCAATGCAGAACATACATAAAGCATACACATATAGAATGAAGCACATATCGCTCTAGACATACAGGCAACCCTTAAAGGCACAGTCTCTTTGTATTGTCCAAGTGGTTAGGTTTGCCACAGTCCTTATGTCTTCTACCCTTGTTATCCAGTCCGTCAGGGTTGGTATTATGGATTTTTTATAGAATGTTAGGATTAGGCTTCGTGCCGCATTCACTAGGTACGGGGTGATCGTTTTTTGTAGGCGGGGGGTTGTAGAGGAGTCAGGTGTAGTAGGTAGTTTTCTGGCGTGAGTTCTATGGCGTTGTCTGTGAGCGTTGTGACCACCTGGTGTATTTCTTGCCAGAAGGGTTTGATCCGCGGGCATGTCCACCAGATGTGGTATAGCGTGGCCAGCTCAGTTTTGCATCTCCAACATTCTGGTGCACTTGTGTCATACATAGTGGCCAGTTTCTCTGGTGTTTCATACCAGTGCGATATCATTTTGTATCCCGATTCTTGGTATCTGGTGCTTATGGAGGTTTTATGTGTCATCGTGAATGATGTGGTCCATTGGTCTTGGGTCAGTGGATGCCCAAGGTCTCTTTCCCAGTATCTGGTAAAGTAGGGAAGTCGAGTGTCTCCCTGTGGTGAGTTTAGTAGTCGGTACAGGAGTGATATGGCATGCGGCGTGGGGGCGTCTTGAGTACAGATGGCCTCAAACGTGGTCAGGGGTCTAGCAGCCGAGTGTAGGTTGGGGATTCGCTTCAGTGCGCTCGCCAATTGGTGATATCGGAATTTAGTCATGTGGTCAGGAGGGGTGGGTGTCCCGTTCACTAGGACGAGTTGTAGCCTGCACGGGAATGGAAGGTCCAAGTTAGTCAAGGTCTGGGAGTTGTTGATCATGTGGAATTGTGTTGTGCCCGAGAGTTGGTGTAGAGGTGAGACAGGTGGGGCGAGGTCCGGATTTCCTGCCATCCTGCTCCACACCTTCAGTGTTGCCACTATCGTGGGGTATCTGGTGTCATATCTTCTCGTCTGGCCTGGGAGTTGCCACGGGAGCCAGCTCAGTGGGTCTTTTGAGAAGCTTCTATGGCTATCGGGGGGTTTGTCTTTTGTCCCCAGGGTCCATTCGGCTATACGTTGTAGGTGGGTAGTCTGGTGGTACTTGGTCAGCTCCGGGAGTCCCAGTCCGCCCTGCGGTTTGGCTTTTGTAAGGATGTCGTATTTTATCCTGGCTGGTCGATTCTGCCAGACATATTTCGTGAAGGCTGAACGAGCCTGGGCCAGAAAGGATTGCGGGATAAGTACCGGGAGCATTTGGAGCATAGTATAGGAAGTGCGGGAGGACGTTCAGTTTAAGAACGTTTACTCTGTCGAGCCAGGTGATGTGTGGTACGTCCCATTCTGCTAGGTCTTTGAGGACGCGTTCCAGGAGGGGGGTAGTTTTGTCTGAACAGGTGAGAGGGGTCCGCTGTGAGCCATATGCCTAAATATTTGAGGTCGTCCTTGCGCCAGTGGAGCTGGAATCGTGCTTTAAGGGTCGTAATCAGGGTGCGGTCGCATCCCAGGTGTAGGATCTCCAACTTGGAGTAGTTGATGCGGAGGTTGGATAGTGAGCCGTACGTTTCGAATTCCTGCATGATTGCTGGGAGCAGATCGTCGGCGTAGCTGAGATTTTGCTTCTCCCCCATGTGCCTTTGATACCCCCGATATCCGGTCTGGTGCGGACCGCGTTCAGGAAGGGTTCTAGGCTTAACACGAACAGGAGAGGCGAGAGGGGGCAACCCTGCCGGGTACCGTTGTGTATCTGAAATGGTGTAGATAATGTGCTGTTCACGTAGACTTGCGCGGATGGTCCGCTGTATAGGGCTTCAATCCATCTCCTCATGTTTGGTCCCAGTCCTAGATGTTGTAGTGTTGCGAAGAGGAAGGTCCAATCTACCCTGTCAAACGCCTTCTCCGCGTCTGTTGAGATCAGGAGTGCAGGCGTCTGTTGGCTCCTGGCCGCCTGTATCAGATTAATTACTTTGGTGGTGTTGTCTCTGGCTTCTCTATTGCTGATGAACCCCACCTGGTCTGGGTGGATCAATTGTGGCAGGGTTGGTTGGAGTCGGAGTGCCAGAACCTTGGCGAAGAGTTTCAGGTCGGTGTTCAACAGGGAGATTGGTCTGTAGCTCGGGCAAGTCGTGGGGTCTTTACCCTCCTTGGGTAGCACCACGATGTGTGCTCTCAAGGTGTTGTGGTCGAGGGTCCCCCCTTGTCTGAGTGCGTTTAGCATGTTCAGTAGGTGCGGGATCAGTGAGTCTTGGTATGTTCGGTAGTATTTGATCGTGAAGCCGTCCGGGCCTGGGCTTTTCCCGCTTTTGGCCATTTTTAGGGCCTGTGATATTTCTTCCGCTGTGATCGGCTCCTCCATGGCGTCGGCCGTATCTGTGTCCATCGTGTTGGTGAGATACTTGGTGAGGTACTCGTTACGTTTTTGGGTCTGTGTGGTGTCCGACCCCTCTTCGGTGTCGTCCTGGCTGTGGAGGTTGTATAGTGCTTTGTAATAAGTGCGGAATCCTTCTGCTATTGATTTCGGTGTGTTGTGGGTGGTTCCATTATGTTTGATCTCAGATATGAAGCTTTTTTGTCTGGTTTTCCCGCTTTTGTTACCGTATTCGTAGAAAGTCTTCTGCGTTTGCCTGAATTGAAACGCGATCTTCTGGGATAGGTGAGAGTTGAGTTTTGCCCTGGCGATGACTAGTTGTGAGTATGTATCATCTGCCAAGGTAGACTTATGTTGCTTCTCCAGGTCCGCCACCGTTCGCGCAAGTTCGGCCGTTTCTCGGGTGTGTTGTCGTTTGCGATGCGCACCATGTCTGATCAGGACGCCCCTAATCACGCATTTGTGCGTTTCCCAGATCTTATCTGGGGCGGTGTCCGGAGCGCTGTTTGTTTGGAAGAATTGGTCTATGTGTGTTTTCACATCTTGTTGAATCAGGGGGTCCTCTAGTAGTGATTCGTTTAGTCTCCAGTTCCAGTGTTTCTGGAATGGCGTTGGTGAGGTGAGTGTGATGATGACCGGACCATGGTCCGACCAGGTCATGGGGGTTATCGTTGCTGTAAGGAGGTCGTCCAGGTAGCGATGCTAGAGAAACAGATAGTCAATGCGCGAGTATGAGTTGTGGGGGGGGGAGAAGAAGGTGTAGTCCTTTTCTTGGTGGTGTAGGGCGCGCCAGCAATCCGACAGCTGGAGTTCGTGTAGGGTGGTTTTCATGCCTCAGAGGACATGGCTCGGGAGGGTCGAGTGGCCTGTTGAGGTGTCCAGTTTAGGGTCCAGAGGCGCGCTGAAGTCTCCTCCGAGGATTAGTTTGCCATCACTAAAGGAGTCTAGCAATGCGAGGGTTCGCCCTAGGAAGGTTTTTTGTCCCTTGTTCGGGAGGTATAAGTTAGCGAACGTGAATCGCGTGTTATGTATAGTTCCTTTCAGGAAGAGAAATCTGCCTCCTGGGTCCGCAAGTTCCTCCTCTTTGCGGAACGGTATGTCCGCCGCAAAGAGTATTGTGACCCCTTTGGTCTTGGAGTCTGGATTGGTGGCATGGAAGCTCAGTGGGTAGTGTTTATTTGAGAATTTGGGGTGTTTAGATGTTTGAAAGTGCGTTTCTTGGAAGAACGCAGTAGAAATGTGCAGGGATTTCAGTTCTCTCAGTGCCCTTGCTCGTTTCTGTGGGGAGTTGAGCCCTTTAGCGTTGATCGTATAAATTCTGAGGTCCGATTGGGGTGTCTTCTGGTGTCTGCGGGGGGGTTGTAGCCGGGGGGGCCCTGTCTGCTCGGGCGGGGGCCAGCCCCGGCGCCCCACGGTCCAGGTGCATGGGGGTGTGTGGGCTGTTTATCTCCGCTGGGGGCACGCGGGGGAGCGTTGTGTGTTGGTGTGGGAGTGTGGCGTGCGTTTGGTGTGTGAGCTGTGTGTTATGAGGGTTTGATTTCTATCTGTCTGGTGTGGTTTGTTTCTCCCTAGCTGTTTGTCCTTACTGTGGTCCAGAGAGGGAGTAGGGGTGGTGGTTGGGGCATCAGGTATGCGTGGGTTGGTCGGAGGTTCAAATAATTTTCGGAGTATTTCCCTTTGTCTGTTTCGTCCTGCAGGAGCTGTGGTTGAGTCTGTTGTGAGCGTGGGGGGGTATGGGTTATGCGTGGGGGTTTAGGGTAGTGTTGGGATGGTCTGGGCCTTGGTCGCCCTCTGCGTAATGTCTCTCTTTGTCTGTGTTTCCCTTCTGTGTCGAGTGTGGGGACAGTAGAGACAGTAAAGAAAAAGGGGTGGTCTGCCTCAAGGGCGGGGCTCACGTGTGGGTTGTGAATCCAGTGAGCTCGCTCTGTGGAAGGGCAGTAACCCGTGGGGGTGTGGGTGACGAGTCTCTGCTCGCTGGCAGAGTCAGTGGATGGTCGGTTCGAGCAAGTATTGGAGGTGTCCGAGCCCTGCCGTCAGGGCGCTACAGTTAGTATAGAGACCTTAGGTAGCCAGTAGTAACGCAGTTTGTGCAACAACAGTTGCATGCACCCTTAACATTGAGCAGGTAGTAACCCTTTAGCTAGGCAATGTCGGTATATACATTTAGCGGTAATGATCCATGTTGACCTTAATATTTAGCAGTTAGTAACCATTTATCAGGCTTCGTTAATTTGAACGTTTAGTCTGAAATTGTCGTTGTCAGCTACCATGTATCTAGGCCTTGTCAGTATAAGCAGTGAGAGGCATAAATCCAAGGTAGCCTTAGCCGTTACCAATTAAGAACCCTTTATCTAGGCATCGTCAGTTTAAGCGTTTGCTTATGCACATGAACAGTTAGCGAGCAATTATCGTTTGTCTGGGCCTTGCCGGTAAAGGCCTTTAGCGCTAAAGATCCATGGTAACTTCGACATTTAGAGGTTAGCAACCGTTCGTCTAGACATTGTCAATTTAAACATGTGGTTATGCCAACCGTGGCATCCTGAACCGTGAACAAACAGTTACCCTTTATCTAGGCATTTTCATTTTAAAACATTTGGTGGTAAAGATCCGTATTAACCTTAACATTTAGTAAGCAGTATCTGGAGTTTGACTTTACAAGCCTTTAGTGACAAAGCCCCGTGGAGGAAGTCACCAGTCTTGGCTCCACTGTCGTGCGTCCTCTTCCTGTAGTGAGGTCCCGTAGGGTCATCAGTGTGTGCTAGGGGCTTGCTGGGTCGGTAGTAGGTCGGGATCCCAGGGTTTGGACGGGGGAGGAGTTATGGGGGTAAGTGGGTGAGCCCCGGGTTACGTCAGGATAGTTCGTCCGTGGGTATATTTTGTGAGTTCAATATATATACATCTTGCGTGTCTATACATTTATACTTTTATCACTCTATGTGCGATTTATATATCTTTTTATAGATATTGTCCACCACGCTGTTATATTATAAGGTTGTATATTTATCATTTACACCTTAGAAGTGATTACTTCACTCCTTTTGCATTCCTACTTGTCTGGTTTTTGCTTTATCAGTGTGAGATGAAACTGCAGGTTAAGCATCTGCCCTGTACACAATGAAAATTACCTACTGTACGTTTCGCTGTCTCTTCTGTGGATAGCGAAGAAGGGGGCTTAAGTTTTGAAAAGGCTTATAGGCTTTTAAAATTGGAACTCTTCCTAGAAGTAACCCTTGGAGTATCTGGTAAACTAAATTTCAGCCACGGGTCCAGTTTGAGAATGCGCCAGTGTTTACGAAGAATGCTGATAATTTCATCATAAACTATGTTAAGGCCCGTCAAGAAGATCAGGCACTTGAACCCACCTCTTTAGCACTAATGTTAAACCTTCCTTTTAATAGTATCTCTGATTTCTTCTAGTAGTCTTAAGGTAGCCTCATGAACTTTAGTGTATCTTACTTGTCCATCTGGTAAGGGGTTCTGTTTACTAAGTTTAGGATTTTTGAATTACATGCTTTTAAATATGCCTGCTTGATAGACCTCACTGGGTATGTTTTTTTTGTAAAGCACATAACTCAATGGATTCTTTTTCGAAATCCTTGAGAGAAGATCAGTTTCGGCGAATTCTGGTAAACTGTCTAAATGGTACATTGGAAATCCATGTGGGGTGATGCCCACTCCCTGCATGTAGAATTCCATTGACATTTACCTTCTTCTGATATCTGTTGGTATGTATAACCCCTTCTTGACCCGTGAGAGTCAAATCTAGCAAATCAATGGTAGTTTGTAGTATGCAAAAGATAACCCCCATTTATTGCTGTTCAAAAAAGAAACTAAATCGTCTATATCATCCCACCCACCCCTCAAAATAATTAGAATATTGGTGATGAATCGGCGATAGAAGGCGAGCCGCTCCATCCACTGTGTGTTGTCCAGGATAAAGGACTGCTCCCAAAATCCCATTAATAAATTTGCATAGGATGGAGCAAAGCTCGCCCCCATCGCAATACTCTTGAGTTGAAGATAGAAAGTGCCATCAAAACGAAAATAACTGTGCTTCAGGATGAGTTCTGTAAATTTCAAAATGGAATCTACTTGTTGTTCAGGCAGGAGGGGATCAGAGGATAAGAAATGTTCTAGAGCCCGTAACCCCAATCTATGGTCAATATTGGAATATAGGGCCGAAACATCTATAGTAATCCAACTGAAATTGGTAGACCAATTGACCTCTTGAAGTATAACACGTGTCCAGTATAACAACGGGGGACATATCTCTGTAAATGAAAATCCACCCACTTAGATAGTGGGGATGTTAGAGAATCAATACATGAGATAATTGGTCAACCAGGGGGATTGGATAAGGACTTATGTATCTTAGGCAAATAGTAAAAAATAGGGATATCTCCTCATGCAGATAGTAGGAATCCCTTCTCTTTCTTATCTAGTGAGCTGGTTGAAAATGCTCATTCTAACAGATCACGTAATTCTTTATTTTAGTCAGTGTTTTATTCTAGGTAATATTCCGTATTTCCTAAGATATTGATGACTTTTTTCATGTAGTCCTGTCTGTCTAACATGACAGTTCCTCCCCCTTATCCGCTCCTTTGATGATAGTATCCCTATTATTTTGGAGACTTTTTATCGCTTCTAATTCCCTTTTAGTCAGGTTATTCAATAAGGATCTCTTGCTCTGTTTTAAAGACTGATCAGAATTTTAAAGTCTTTCCATATCAGATCGTAGAAGATCTGTATAAATTGTCCTTTATCCGCCTGTGGATAGTACATAGAAGGAGGTCAAAAACCTGAAGAAATAGTGGCATTAAGTACTTGGAGGGCATCACTTTCTGGATGGGATATCTATTGTTCTTCCAGGAGGGAACATACACTGAACAAAATTATAAACGCAACACTTTTGTTTTTGCCCACATTTTTCATGAGCTGAACTCAAAGATCTAAGACTTTTTCTATGTACACAAAAGGCCTACTTCTCTCAAATATTGCTCACAAATCTATTTAAATCTGTGTTAATGAGCCCTTCACCTTTGCCGAGATAATCCATCTACCTAACCATGCAGCTACCAGACTATCGTCTAAAATGTCACTTTCATGAGTCTATGCAAAATATGCACAGACCCCCGAAAGTGACAGATCTGCTTTAAGTGTATATTGGCCCTATTTCTGGTGTAACTTTTACGGATAGTGACACCAGTTACGGATCCGGGGGGGTAACGGGGCAGTTGCCCCCCCCCCCCCAGATTCTCCATTGCCAGCTAATGCAGGGCTGTCATTGTCCAAGTGCCAGGCTTGCAATGTGCCTGCCTGCGGACCAGAGAGGGAGATCAGAAGGAGAGGGAGGAGAGAGGACCCGCGAGCTCTTACCTGCAGCTCCTCCGGGTCCTACTTTCGCGAGCATGGCGCGTTGTCGCGGTTACCACGGCAACGCTCCAAATCTGGAGCCCGGGCTAGAGTTCACTCTAACCACTGGAACCACCAGGGATTCCCCACCGGACCACCAGGGATCCACAAATGTCTGGCATAAAGTATATTTATTTTATTAAATAAATAAAAAAAATATTAAAAAGCCTCCCTACCCTCCTCCCCCCTCCCATAAAAAACCCTGCCCCCCCCATACACACACTACACACACTGCCCCACAAACACTGCCGCCCATACACACAGTGCCCCACAAACACTGCCCCGTACACACACTGCCCCCATACACACACTGCACACCCACAAACACTGCCCCCATACACACACTGCACACCCATACACACACTACACACACTGCCCCACAAACACTGCGGCCCATACACACACTGCCCCACAAACACTCCCCCCATACACACACTGCACACACTGCCCCCACACACACACTACACACACTGCCCCCCAACACACCCCCCATACACACACTACACACACTGCCCCACAAACACTGCCCCCCATACACACACTGCCCCAAACACACACACACTGCAACACTTACACACACTGCCACCCTTACATACACACTGCACCGCTTACATACACACACTGCAGCTCTCTCACACACACTGCCCCACACATACACTGCCCCCAACACATACACTGCCGCCCTCACGCACTCCCACACACACTGCAGCTCTCTCTCACACATACACTGCCCCACACATACACTGCCCCCAACACACACACTGCAACCCTGACATACACTGCCGCCCTCACGCACTCGCACTCA